TTGTTCATTTACGGCGCACTAGAGCTGCACAAAGGGCTATTGGCGACGGTCTGGGAAACATCCCTGAGGATGATCTGAAGACATGCCATCACAATTTTGATCCTCTGCAGAGGTGATGACACCCCTGCTTCGGTAGCTCGTCCAGTAGAGGATAGTCTACTTTACTCGTCTGTCAATTAATACTAATAATATAATGGATTTCTTGTTAGATAAAAATAGTTAAATAAAAAATGTTACAATTGACCCTACTCTCCCCTACTTATCCAACTTATAGAACAAAACCCTTCACTACTGCTAAGTTCGTTTAAAAAAAAACTACTAAAAATGTTTTATAACTTAAATGAAAGTAACAACTGAAATTGTAGTCAATATGTAAACACAATTATTTACACTGAAACTAAAATGCATAAAATTGCATTTATGCATTTACTAAATTGTACAGAGAATTTACCACCCAGCGAGCATTTCGCAAACTTTTAATATCCTGACAAAAACGCATAACTACTTCTACGTTTCCTTAAAATAGGAAATAATATACTTTTTTAAAAAAAAATAATAAGAGGACACACTTTAAGACGATTCTCGATGTCATATTTCGTTGTATTAGAAATCGAAATTAAGTGAAATAAAATTCTATTAAAAACATGATTTGAGACAAAAAATAGATTTGAAGACACAGTTGTTGCATATTACATGAAAACTACGAACTTTTATAGTTTTGAAAAGAAGAAAACTTTATTTTTGATACATTATAATTTTTTAAGGATACAAAAGGTATAAGAAGACTTAATTTTAAAAGAAAATAGCAATTTTCTTTTTTCATTTTCATGGACACTAGGGAGTGAATGAATTAAAGTAAGTGACATTAAGTCATACAATTCAAAAATTAAATATTCTAAATCAAGTAAAAATGCATTTTGAAACAAAAGTATTTATTTAGAAATAAACATAAAAATGAAAGCAAATTATTTATTCTAATTTTTAGACAATTATGAAAACTGATATTTATGCGCAGAAGGAACAAATAATTCAAAAAATTGTCAAACACTTTAACACAAGGCACTAAATGTGTGCGTTTGAATCATGTAAAATTAAACTTTTTACTGAACATTACTAGGGAAATGAAAAATGTCAAAACTTTGTTTAATAAATTCTTATTTAGATAATTAAATTCAATATTATTTAGGTCTTATAAAATAAAATCGATTTTATTTTTTTAATTTTCTTCCGTGACTTTGATTCTCAGCTTTCAAGGATTTCCTCAAAATTTGAGGAGAGATTAATGGGTATTTTACGATATCTCTGAATATTTACATGCTTGGTCAGGTTTATAAGGGTAACGAATGCATGCTACGCTCACGTTGGGCAATTTAATTTTCGATCCATGCTCATAACAGTATTTCCCAAACACAATTTTAATTTTACGCTTTCATATTCAGGTTGTGCATTACATTAATTAATATAAACTTTAAAAGAATAAAAATAAATAACCAAAGGGAAAAAAATGCCGAATAAACAAAATCCTTATCACTAAAAAAAGTTGAATGTGAAATTAACACTTTGGCTGGATTAGCGATAGTTTTGACTGAATTATGAATATTCATAGTGTATCATGCCTTTTATTATTCCTTTAAGTGTGAATGATTGTGTGATAATGAATTTCTCTCATAAAACATTTAACACTAAAGAGTTTAATGTAAATAAATTATTTTTATGAAGATATTTATTATATTGAAAGGGAAGGATTTTATTTCTTTCATAATATCTGCATGGTTATTCCTTCTGCAATCATTATTATTATATATGCCCTGCTTTGTTTCGATTCAATTTCTGAATTTATCCAGATAAAATTAGTAAGTGTACCGGTAGAAGTAACTATGAATTTGTAAAATAGAATTATGCTTTATTACTAGACATTAATGTAGTTAATGCAATTTAAATCAATAATTTTCTGTATTCTCAAAATAATAATATTACACTTACTTTAAGAGAAATGCAATTTGTTTTTAAAAATTAAAAGAGGTCAAATTTTTAAGGGTACTGTTTTTTTCTTACGAGTGTTAAAATTCAAATTTCAAATGAAACAAACGATCCAGTTTTGAAAAATCAAATTTATGGACGAGTACATTCCAGAAAATGGGTGCATTACCGAAATCTTAAGTAGTAATCAACTATCTCTTTCTGCCCTTTTAAAAAAATAGACCGATATCACTTCACCTGCTTTTTCAAAACAGCTGCTTTTACTAGCACCCACGAGTTAGTGCATGGAACAAAAATATCCCAAAAGCTTTTTGAAGCAGACGATTATTAAGTCAATAATTTAAACTCCCTTTCTCGTTTTAAAAGTGGCCTTTTATCTTTGAGGAATTTAAACTAAGCCGAAATAAGTAATAATAATAATAAAATAAGCGAGAGAGATTTTGAATAGAAAAAGTGGGATGGTGGATGTAATAATCTTAATTTTTGTTCAGTTATTAAGAAAACGTTTTTAATTAAACAATCAAATCAGAAAAAAAATTGCATTTTGGAAAAATACTGAAGTAGTACGAGCCCCTCCGTACCCCCCCCCCATACGCTAACCATTTTGCTTCACAAGCAAGCATACCCGATTGAAAGACATATGTGCAGCTTGCGGCCAAAGACAGCTAGGGAAAAATACTTAGTAATATTTCGTAGATAATGCCCATGCTTACTTCAATGTAAATTTAAAGTATTTAAATGTAATAAATCTATTATTTACATTTATTTTTTAAAACTACGAGGTATAGGTAAGACTAATCGGGCAATCATTAAGACGCAAGTTAAGAACTCAAAAACCCAACAATTTTGCTTAGGAAAGAGTATTCAAAAAGAGGTATTGATAAATACAGAGTTATCGAGAATATATGCCGAATTTATATTTCAGTATTCCATAAAAAGCATACAAGTTGTAATAATCAGTGATAACTTTTTATAAATATCAAAGTCTGTCATACCACAGAAAAAATATTAAAGAGTTCTTAGAGATGAAACGTTTTTTTTTCCCTTTCTTTTTTTAATGAAGATGGTAATAAAAAGTACTTTTATTAATTGTTTTTAATTTTCCTTGATTCAAGCATTAGTGTTTTCGTATAATTTTTTTCAACTACCAAGTTCTTTGAATTTTGAATTGAATTTTTAAAAAAATAAATTTTACGTCTATCCACTGTAAGAAATTCCGGATTAAATTACTATCAAAAGTACAAGTGTCTGAAAAGTACGAGCATGTATAGAAAATAATAGTAAAAGTGTTTGAAGAAACATGAAGTTTTCTCATGTATGCAAAACTGCATGGCAAAAACTAGATTGTCAGCTTTGATCCGTTTATGATTAGCTTAAAAAATAGGGAAGAATTGTTTTTTGAAAAACAGCTTTAAACCGTCAAATATACAGAAAAATTCCGTAAAAAAAGGAGAAAAAAAAAGGGATTTTTTTTGCGGCACGCTGCTAGCGACTACAGAAAAAATCTGTAGTTATCTTTGAACAAATTTTTTATTAAAATATTATGTTTTTTTTTTCTGTAGAATTTACAGTTATATTCCAAGAGTGTACAATACTGTAGCAACTGAAAATTATAAAGAAAAATAACTACATAGCTAAATAATAAATCTTTTGCATTTATTTACCTATTTGTTAGGAGCAAGTTAGATTTGTTTTATCTTCTTGAAATTTTGGGTTACTAGTTTTGAAAAAGACAAACATCTTCTTTTAATACTTAATACTTCAAATTATACACAATCGTCTTCTTTTCGGAGTTTGTGTCTTTAAACTAAACAATTAGGAAAAAAAAAACTTTTAAAGTTCTGAGACACAAAAGAAGAGGAGAAAGAGCTACTAATATTTGTAGGTACTAATATTACTATAATAAGTACTATAATAACTAACTATAATAATAATATGTACTAATATTTGTATTCTATGTTACTTCGCTACCTCATAAGGCTTAGCTAGGCCTAGTAGTTTGTTACTTTGTCGCCTTATTAGGCTTAGCTAAGCCTAACTAGTATTTACGTTGTCAATGTTTAAGATCATTTCAGACTTATATGAATTTTTTAATTCAAAATTTTCAATAAACACAGGAATGCTTAATGAATCGTAACCACAAAGGATTGCAATTCACCTAGGAATGTGGACTAACTGAATTTCGAAGAGTCGCTGTGCAAAATATAAGCTGCCATCGACAAATGCCCAAGTTTAATACGTTATTCGCAAATGGACTGATTTAAATTCATAGATCGAAGCCCAATTCGAATCTATATGCTGATTCAAAGAGGGAAAACATTTTAAAATTAAAAATGAAAAGTAAAAACGATTCGACAAGATGTATTCGGCTCCTAGATTAAAGGATCCATTACGCAAACCTAAATAATAATTTTTTTTTTTAATTTTTTACCTGTCCTGCCATTATTTTAGCCTACCTTTATGTAAGCTGAATAAACATACTGTCAAGTGTGCTTGCAGCAAAAAGATATGCTTTAAAAAATACTGATCAAATGTATCAGGAGGTAAAATTTCATTTATTCTTAATTATATAATAAATAAAACTTAATATAGCATATTAGTCTGATATTTATTTTTCAAAAAGAGAATTAATATGGTAGTTAAAAAAAAACCATTAAAACTAAATAACTTAAAGAAATTACCTGGAGTTTTCCTTGCTTGCCTTTGCATTTGTTCCTTAAGATTCTTGTTAGCATCCATTGGTAGACCAAATATAGGTCCTGGTGGTAAATAAGACAATGGTGTTCCAGTAGCCACAGCACGTAGGCCAATAGCAATGGCGTCCTCAGCTGCCTGCTGTCTTTTTAAAGCAACCTGTGCAGCCATGATTCTTTGTCTTTCAGCAATTAAAGAACATTTTGCACATGCACAGTCCCTAAATCGACAATGGCGCTTATGACCTTTCAGCCAACTGATAACTCCATGATTTCGGCACCTAGCGCACTTGGGTCGGCGAACTCCTCGAACTCCAAGATCTGGAGATTCCATCAGTTCCCGATCACACTGAGATGAAAATCTTTAAAAATAAGCAGTAATTCTTATAAATAAAAATTGAAAAATATTTAATATTTTTTTGAAAAATGAGAAGAAAAAAATTTACTCCTAAAAATTATAACTTTTGGCATTTGTCCAAACAAAACACAACAATTATAATTGTTCGATTATGAAGACGAAGAAAAAATAATTTAGCAACTAAAATGTAAGAAATCTTATTTATATCCTCACAAAACTTTTTTTCTGATAGAAAAAAGAACTCATTTCAATAGTTCGTATCTTTAATTTAATTATTTAGTTATTTATTTATTTCATTTTAACGCATTATTGCATAGGTTCCAATGTTTCAGCAATATTTTGAAAAATGATATTAAATGTCACATAATCAGTTAAATAAATATATATTTTTTAATTCTACTTGAAAAAACTGCTTATAATTTATAATGTTAAAAAAAAATACAAAGTATGATGTCACATTGCAAAATATCATGAAATTATTAAACTCTAAAATTTTGTCAAAATTAAAGAAAAAAAGAAGGGCTAGATTCCAAGACGAATTATAATATTTCACTCGAAACAATTTATCATAAAAAATTAAGTTTAATTTATGAATCCTTAACGCTTGAAATATTTACTTATTATTAATTTTTCTTACACTTCTGAGCCATATGTTTACATATTAGCTAAATGCTTAAATTAAACATCAAATCTAAATAGTAAATTTTGTATTTTGTAAATGTAAAAAATGGCCTATAAAAGTTTATGCTAAGTTTAAAATTAAGCAAAATGTAAAAAATTTTATGAAGCTTGGTGGGAAAAAAAACAGGACAAACAATTGTTATTAAAATTTTATTAAAAATAAATAAACATATAACATATAATAATCAAAAAAGCAGACTTCTTCTAATAACAAATAATAATAAAAAAAGCAGACTTTCAAAAGTTCGCCATTTTCAGTGATTCTGAGGCTCAAACGGGCAGCCCGCAAGTCTTTTAATTTTTATCTATTTTATCCCCGCCGAAACAGTTGCATTAGAGAGTCTTAACTTTTGTCCGGTTAAGTGTAGGACATAGATTACAAACTACACCGTACGCCGTAATCCAGGAAATTGAGATCTGGTGAGCAGAGTGGCCAGTCAGCAGATGATATCATGTCCGGATAAATGCGTCTTGCACAACTCTTGTGTCTTTTTCGCCTTGTGAGCTGATGCGTAGTCTTGCTAAAATGCCTAATTTACATTGTCGATGCGCTTTTTGGCCCACGGAAGTACACTTTTTGATTCATTTTAATGCCCTTATCCACAAAAACCATAGGTATTTTACCGCTTGTGCTGATTCTGCCCCAGACATGACCGACGGTGGATTTTGGCGATGTTCAATGTTCGGAGAGTTATAAACTTGTAGGATCTCTTCGTATTAGTGAAAAGGATTCTCTCCTTGGGCTCTCGGGCTTGTAGGCCAGTTGCTGAAAATTTTAATATGCGTTTATGCCTCTGCATCGCTGCAAAGGCAGTCACATGGAAATTAATTTTTATTATTAAAAATCTGCACTTATTATCTGTTATATTTCGTTAATTTATTTATATTTAATAAACTTATAAAATTGTTTTTCCGGCAGCATTTGGCTTTGAATTTGTGACTTAGGCCTTTCTTCATCATTTACGGTGCTGATTCGATCACAGAAAAAAGTGTAGAAAAGTAGTGAAGCATTTAATACTAAATACTTGGTCGTAAGAAGAAGCCTAATGATTTAAACCTAATCATGATTTTTTAGACCTAATGATATGAAACAATTTTTTTTCTTTTGTATGATATGAATGACAAATCATAATAATTGCCTATTTGCTAATCTTTTTTTACTTCATAATGTTAATTCATTAGTTTCTATGTTCTGATTTTGAACTGATAGTGATTTAGCAAATAGCAACATGGTCTACAGCTTTTACTGTGCGCCATGAATAATGAATAATATGCGTTAAATAAGCAAATAAATACGCCCAAAAATAAGCAATTATTTTCCTCACCTTAAAACCGTACGTCATTAAAATATCTGTTATAGGTCTCAATAGTAGTTAATAACCATTTGTTTTGTATAGAAAAATATTCGTTAAATATTTAACTTTTTTAAAGAGTTATTTCATAAATATTATTTGATGCTTTGAATACCATGATAAAAATAATCATGCGCAAAAGTTAGTGACTTTCTACTTTAAAAAAATTTTTGCGCATAGCTTATGTGCTGCTACGTGTTTTCTTGAGCAAAAGAAATTAGCAAAATTTTTTTATAAATGGATAAAATATTGTATTTGAATTGCACTTCTGGCTATTTCTATTTAAAATTCAAAGTTAATCACCCATTCGAACAGCAGTTATCTAACGCATTGCTATTTGATAGCATTAGAACTTATCAATTTTCTTGGTTTATTTTTAGCAATCCTCAAACATTTTTCTTCAACTTTCAAACTTGTTAATCTTTGTTATGTTACATTTTTATATACACCCAACAGCTTTTACCTCAGTTAAAAAAAAATTATTATTTTTTTATAAAGTTTTACTGAAAAAAAGAGCTTATTTCTCAATTATATTGTGATTATTGCGTAATCACGGTTTTTATCGCATCATAAATCTAATATAAAAATAGCAGGAAGAGCTGAAAAATCCTTTTTTTTCTTTTTCTTCCCTTGAGCTCTTGTCTTATAATACATTCACACCAAATTTTAACCCGTTTGCTAGTGAATTATAAGTACAGTGAACCAAAGAAAAAGGAACACTCTGAATAATTTCTGATCCAATCTGATCCTCACGTTTCAGGACTCAATCTTAATGTTTCGAAAGGGTGACTTCAAATATGATAATTAATTAATGCATACCATATTTTAAGTTACGAAATCAGACACAAAAGAGTACTTTCTCTGAATAAACATACCTTTTTTCCGACGAGCTCTAGTTTCTGACCCCAAAAATATGACCCGCAATCTAAGAAATATGGTCTCCATAGTTTGGTCTGGAAAGTGATCCAAAGTTTAGACCCCTTAATATTAATATGACTTTTAGCGTAATCAGCCATATTTCGAGAACTTTTTAAGCGAATTAAAAACTTTTTGCACACAATTATAAAGCTCGTTTATCTCAAATTAATTCCATACAAAAAATGAATTTCAGTAAATATTTACTATTTTTTATTATTTTATTTAATTATAATATGTATATTAAAAAAAATGAACTGTAAGGTAATTAATTTTTACATCATTTTAAAGTATGTAAAAATGCGAAAATGCTTAGCAAAATGCGAAATTTGAGCGAAATCGGTCAAAATATTTCTGAGAAATCGAAATTTAAATATACGGTTTCTTTAAAATTATATTTCTCATTAAATATTCGAACAATTTCACTCAAATTTTGTATTCTGCCATGTAAATTTTTATACTTTAAAATGGGGTAAAAAATTGTATGATTGCTAATCAAATTTTTTCGACTATTTTTTTTAAATAAAATAATAAGAAATAAATACTTACTAAAATTCATTTTTTGCATGAAATTATCTTTGGATAAATGAATTTTATAATTGCGTGCAAAACATGTTTCAATTCGATTAAAAAGATCTTGAAAAGGGTGAAATAAGCAAAAGGTAAAATTAATCTTAAGGGGTCCAAACTTTGGACCGCTCTCCTAACCCAAACTATGGGGATCTTAGTTCCCAGATAGCGGCTGCCCCCTATTTGGGGGTCAGAAATTAGAATTCGTCGGAAAAAAGGTATGTTTATTCAGAGGAAGTATACATTGTTGTCTGAGATTTTGTAACTTGGAACATCGTCAGCACTAGCGAATTAACATAATTGAGGTCGCCACCTCAAACCATTAAGCTTGAGTTCTAGAACGGGAAGATCTGATCATTAGATCAAAAGTTATTTAGGGTGGTCCATTATTTTTTTGTCGTACTATACATCTAATACATTGAAATTAAATAAATATTTCTGTATGATATTTTCATGCTCTGCCAGTTACATTCTATGCCCCCAAGGTTGTTCGCTTACTTTAGGTCAATAAAGCACTTTAAATCCATTTTCTGCTCTACTTTTAAAAGAATTTGATAATTTAATACTTTTGGTTTGATTTTAATTCAAGCACAGGTCATATATTTTCCTCCTTCATCTTTACTGTTTAATACTCAAGGTTCATTTTCATTCACAAAAAACGGACGAAGTATTATTTTAAAAGTAAATATTTTTTTTATATATTGTTCCTTATAAAAGTGAGCTAAGCCTAAAAATAATTGGAAAATCTAACACGGTCTCATTGGAAATCAATTCTTGCCAGAAATGTTTACAAAGGTCATGTTTCAAAAGCCTTAGCTTCTGGCTAAACAATAAATGAAAAAACTTATAATCTATACTTTCTTCAGCAAAAAAGTTATAAAGTTTCTTAAAGATGAGATACTGAATCAGAAACTTGGGATTTACTCAATAGAAATAAAAGATTTTTTTTTAAAAATATATAAACCTAATGAAAGCCAATATTTTTTTACCGGAGGAAAAAAGAGGAAGAAATAGCTTTTCTTTCTGTGCATTGTGAAAGGCCTTATACCATCAAATGTTTGATTAAATTTTATTACTATACTTGTAGATATTAATTAAATGTTTGTTGGTTTTGTTTTAAGAAACTAGCAATTTTAAATAATATTTTAATCTTATTTTAATTCAGACTTCCTTACTGGGAATCTCAAGTAGACTTTTGCAACAGTTTTTTTTTCCTTATTTTTTTTATTACTACTATTTCACCATTCTTATTAACTAAGCAAGAAAAAGCCTGAATAAACCACAAAACAAAGTACAGACATACTATATTTTCGGCTCTATAAATAAGAACCTTAAAGTAAAAAATATCCTCAGTGTTAGCCGATTCATGGGTTAAAATTCCCTTGTCGTCGAACTTGCCGTGTGAGGTTTTCGTTGTTTCCCTTTCCATGTAGCGCAAATGTGGGTTAGTTCAACAAAAAATTTCCTCCATGAATGTTAGTTTGTCCCAATGCTTGTCCCCGGAGTTCCCTTTTCTTCTGGGTTGGGTTCAAAATTACAAAGTTATGAAGTTGAATGTTGATAGTTGCACATCCAGAATTGGATCGGCTATTCAACGCTGATAATAAAAGGAAATGAAATATATGCAAGACCACATTATCACGAAAATTTGATGAATACCAAAGCTATTAATATCAGCAATAGAGTATTTGAGTCGGGGTTGCGTAGACCTTTAGCCTTCCATTGAGGAGACCCGGGTTCGAATCCCTGAGATAGCTGGTTGATACGAATTCTGCACCAGACTCATACTGACCACAATGCTGACGTAAAATATCATCAGTGGGGAAGACGGATCATGGGTTGAAATCCATTTGCCTTCAAGCTAACAGTGGGAGGTTTTCCTACGTGAGTGGTTCCCCATGTGAGGTGAATGTGGGTTAGTTAAATCAAAAAGTCTTCTACAAAGGCTAGTTAGTCCTAATACTTGATCCAGGAGTTCTCTTGTCTTCTGGATTAAGATCAAAATTACAAAGCTGCAGAACTGAATATTGGTAATAGTAAACTTAAAATTGGAACGGTAATAAGCGACAACGGTTTTAAAATAAAATAAAATGGGGTCTTTAAGGTTGGTGAGATTTAGTTTATTAACAGAGAAAAAACGACTTTAAGCTTCAGTTTTATTCAAAATTTTATCAATATGGGGACTGATGTTCGGATAATAAGGTAAAGTAATCAAAATGTTAAAGATCGAATTCGAGAGTTTGGCGGCAAGAATAATTTTCTATAGATGGAATAGGAGGAAGCCCCGTGTGGTGACCGGGGATTAAGAATCTAGTCCCAACGTAGCTCATGCGTGTCGTAGAAGGCGACTAAAATGGGCACCCAGTGTCCGGGGGTATAGCCGGGTACCCTGCCCCTGGAGATTATATCAGGGGACTGGTCCTCCAGGTTGGGGGTTGGGCGTAGGGCTAACAACCCTACCCTGTAAAAAAATCTTGTTGCGAAGTCTCAAGTCAATGATTCCGGACCGAAATTTAGAAGACGACCTGGCAAATCTTACATGGAACTGAGAATCGGAACATGGAACATTCGCTCTTTGTATAAAAACAAAGGGCTGCAACTCTTAACGGAACAGCTGGATAATTACAAGGCTGATGTAATGGCTCTGCAAGAGATGAGGTGGCTTAACGATGGAATAATGGAGAAGAGAAATCACACAATCTTCTATAGCTGTGATAAGAAGAGGCATATTTTTGGAACGGGTTTTGTTGTGGGCAAACACATTCGGCATCTTGTCATGGATTTCGTGCCAAAGTCTTCAAGGTTATGTAAAATTAGGCTAAGAGGAAAATTCTTTAATTACAGTCTTATAAATGCCCACGCACCTACTGAAGACAAGGATGAAGACGAGAAAGAACTTTTCTATGAGAACCTGCATTCTCTATATAACTCCTGTCCACAAAACGACATCAAAATTATTTTGGGTGACTTAAATGCTAAAATTGGAAAGGAAGCTGAGCACAGGCCCACTATTGGAAAATACAGCCTGCACGAAACAACAAATGACAATGGACAGAGGCTCATTCACTTCGCTGCAGAACATAGCATGGTCATATCCAGCACCTTTTTCCAACACAAGAGAATTCACCAAACGACCTGGAGATCACCAGATGGAGATACCTCCAACCAGATCGACCATATATTGATAGACTCCAGACATATGACGGACATACAAGATATTAGAACCTATCGTGGGGCCAACTTTGACTCAGACCATTACATGGTAATGAGCAGGATCAAGGCCAAACTATCTAATGCACGTAAATGTCATGGGAAACGTCTTGAGAAATTTGACTGCGAACAATTAAAGACCCCTAGAGTCAGGGATGACTTTCAGTCACAACTAACTATGAAGCTTGATGAAAAAGCAATCGAAAATATTGATTGCATAGATGGAAAGTGGACTTCTTTCAAAGAAGCCCTATTGGACACATGTGATAATGTAATAAGCAAAATAAAAAGAGCTGAGAAAAAGGATTGGTTTGATACAGAATGTCGCAACGCGACCCAAAGAAAAAACGATGCATATAATATGATGCTCAGTAAAAAACACTCAAGAGCATCAGTAGAGAAATACAAAACTGCAAGAAGAGAAGAAAAGAAAGTTCATAGGTTGAAGAAAAAGTTTTTTCACGAAGACCTCTTTAAGGATGTCGAACATCTCCGAGGGTCTAATGAGAGCAGAGCTTTCTTTCGTGGCATTAACTTTGGTCGTCAAGAGTTCAAACCTAGAACTAACCTTTGCAGAAATAAAGATGGAGATATTTTAAGCGATAAAACAGACATTCTCAATAGGTGGAATGAACACTTCGACAACCTACTTAATGTAGAGTGCGTTCAGACAGAGTCCTGTTCACCAAACGTTAACCAAGAGTGTATAGCACCTCTTTCAATGATTGAGGTTGAAGAAGCAGTTCAAAAACTTAAGAACAACAAGGCTCCTGGCCCAGATTTGATATCACCAGAATTCTTAAAAAACTCAGGACCAGATGGGTTAAAGGCCATACATAATATTCTAACATCAGTATGGGAAAAAGAGATACTCCCGGAAGAATGGAAACACAGCACTGTTTGTCTTATACACAAAAAAGGAGACATTCTTGAATGTTCAAACTACCGGGGTATCAGCATGCTCTGCACTGCATATAAAGTCTTTTCAAAAATTCTATTTAACAGACTTAGCCCCTATGTAGAAAACATCATTGGTGAATACCAGTGCGGTTTTAGGAAGGGCAGGTCTACAACTGACCAAATATTTTGCATAAGACAGATTCTGGAAAAGACCAGGGAATTTGGAATTGGTACCCACCACCTATTTGTGGATTTCAAAACTGCTTACGACAGTGTAAACCGGAAGCGACTCATTGAAGCTATGCGAGAATTCAATATCCCGGACAAGCTTGTACGACTCACCACACTTACACTGTGTAAGACCATGCAGAAAGTTAAAATCCAAAATGACTTCTCGGAACCAATGGAGGTAAAAAATGGTGTAAGGCAAGGCGATGCTTTGGCATGCCTACTCTTCAATTTGGCATTAGAAAAAATTATCAGAGATTCAGGAATCAATACCAGAGGACATATCTTTCATAAGTCTGTCCAAATTTTCGCTTTTGCCGATGACATTGACATCATAGCTCGAACACAATCTGACTTAAAGCAAGCCTTTCTATCCATGGAAAAAGAGGCAGAAAAAATGCATCTCACTATTAACCAGGAGAAAACCAAGTACATGCAATGCACCAAAATAACTGATTCTACAACTCACTTGCAAATTGGTGAATACAAGTTTGAAAAAGTAAACAGTTTTGTTTATCTTGGTTCTGAAGTCAACGTTAATGGCAATATCGCACCCGAAATACAAAGAAGAATCAATAGTGCAAGTAAATGTTTCTATGGATTAAAAAAATATTTAAAATCAAACCTACTAAAAAGAGATACTAAACTGTTAATTTATAAATGCTTAATCAGACCTATCCTAACATATGCCTCAGAAACTTGGACAACAACACAGAAAGATGAGAATTCCTTGGGAATCTTCGAACGTCGGATCCTAAGATCCATTTTTGGGGGCAAACAAGTTGATGGTACTTGGTACAGACGTTCAAACTCAGAACTCTATCGGGCTTTCAGAGAGCCTGATGTTGTCAAGTATGTAAAAATCCAAAGAATTAAATGGGCTGGTCACATCATTCGAATGAACAGAGAGCGTTCGACAAACATAATCTTTTTGGCTCAGCCCATCGGATCAAGGCCCAGAGGTCGACCAAAGCTGAGATGGGCCCACTGCGTGGAAAGAGACTTTTCAGTCTTAAAAGTCTCAAACTGGAAGACAACTGCCAGGCGGAGGCAGGCCTGGAGGAAGTTGATTGAGAAGGCCAGGGCCCACCCGGGGCTGTCGTGCCATTGAGGAAGGAAGGAAGGAATAGGAGGAAAAGCTACGGTTTAAGAATATACTCTTTTTGTCTTAGGTTACGAGACCGATTAATGTGAGACACAGTAAGAAAAATAAATATATAAAAAAAGGTATTAAAATTATATGACCAAGGCAAAAAAAATTTATCCCCCCTTCCGAAAAGAGGCACGTTTTCACCAAAATATCTATAAAAGATAGGAAATACTTTATGTTATATGGACTAAAAAAAATAATAATAAATAATGCACAAATACTTTTTTGTGCATTAATTTGCATAGTGCAAAGTATACCTAATCCTTATTCGAAATACAATACAGTATACAATAATTCGAAATACGATAGTCGGGAAATTAATTTTTTGTACCATCATGGACACTTTGGCCATTTTACTTTAGGCTATTACATTCCCTCTACTTTACATGTCTTTTATAATTCTATATCAACCAATCAACAGTTTTAATATTACGAGATAGTAGCTTTTTTTCCCTATTGATAGTCTTCGGTAAACACTATGGATGTTTGAATAAAGAAAGATTAAGTTTTTACTGTAAATGCACAAATATAAGGCTTCAACAATTATATGGGCATAAAAGCATAACATGGTTATACACGTAGAGTTCTATTTTTTTTCATTTAAAAAGGAAGCTAAAAAGCACAAATTTGTTAAATTTCAGTATCGTTCCTTTTTTAAGTTGTTTTAGCTATGCTCTTAATAGATATTATTAAAAGTTTAAATTTTGAAACGTTAAATGTGTCAAGTTGTAAACTAATTAGTTTTATCGTCTGTCATTGTTGATATTAATTACATAATACATCGGACAAAACATTTGTAATATGTTAACCTGTCTATTTTGTATGTTGACCACTGAAATACAGAATGTTACAAAATTATGAGACCACCCCAAATATCATTCATTTTTATAGAACATGGCATAAAAGAAATAATTTTAAAATGTTGAAGTAACCGAAATAAGTAATATTTTCTGAAATAAATCAAAAAGTTGCTTCTCACAGCAAACGATTTTTTAAAAATCTGAGTGTTACACATAAGTATAACACCACCTATTTCTTTTTTCAAAATCGTTTGAGTTTTCAAAATCTTTTTATTTTTTCTTTGAGAATCGTATGTAACTTTGAAACGCAGAAAACGCAAACGATAGTGTTATAGAAAATGAAATTATTTATTTTCATAAGAAAATTCACAATGCCACATTCTTAAAGGCCCTGGAAAATCAGAGAGTCTAATATGTAAATTAATTAAAAGTTTTAAAACTGCTATTCATTATGTTTTAAGCAAAAGAGATTCTATAAATGATCTGGCAGTAAGCGTAAAATTAGATATATTTTCCAACTCGCAACGAAAAAGAACTTGTCTGCTCGCAAAATAATGATTGCAAGTATAACGATCCCCCACACAACAGTCTGACGCACTGAGAGGTCAGATTCAAACGCTGTTCTTCAAAAATTAAAAAAAAAAGCAATGCCTTTTAAAGCCTCAAAATGAAGACAGGTTAAAATGGACAAGGAAAAGTCATGACCCTGCTTGGAAAAAATAAAGACGAAAAGAAGTTCAATATGAATGGTCAGAATGGTAATAATTACGACTGACATGATTTGCGAACACCTCCTGATTTCTTCTCGTAGGCAAATGGCTGGTAGCTCGGTGATTGTGTGGGGAGCTTTTGCGTATGATGGTAAATGTGAGCTGCAGCGAATTTCTGGAAAAATAGACTCTAGTTTTTATCAATAACTACTTTACTAAAACTTTACACCTTTTGGTCCACAATTAGAGGAGTCAGACTTGAAATTTCAGCAACACATGCCACGCCATGTGTCTCAAACAACTAAAATTTGGTTTCAGAATGAAAAAATCTAGGTCCTTAGATGGAAAAGGTATAGTACTGATCGTAATTCTACAGAAAACGTGTGTTTCCAATAAACTTCTTTGAACGACCTGAAGGTAGCTTTCATAGAGGAATGGTACAAAATTTTTCAAACTTTTTTGAAAATTTGTTTAAAGTCGAGTAGAGTAGGAGTGAGTGGGTAGAGTGTATATATATATATATATATATATATATATTATTGCAAAATATTAGATATTTTTTAATGCTAATTAATTAGTTTAATATTAAATTTATGTACCAAATTGTAACTCATTTTAGAAATTAATTTCATTTCTTCTTTCATTTTTTAAATAAAATTTTTAAGCTATATTTAAAAAAAATTAATTGCTTCTGTTTTTATTTTGTTGATAACATATAAGGAATTGAACAAGATGAGCAACATGAATAGTTTGAATATAAGAATTACATCACATCAAAAATGATAAGGAAAAAGAAGCAATGACTCATGCTATTATAGTTGACGAGTAAGACCACCAAAGTTGGCCACTAAAGCAATGCTCAGAAAATGCAAAACCTTTACACAGGTTTCACTTTAATTTTATTATTCCGTTACTCTGCTGTTTTATTTGTTTTTATGTATTTCTGTGCTTCATAAATTCCGCGTATTCAATTTCACCCATGTACGAGTGAAATGTATGCAAAAAATTTGTTTACTATCCTTTTCTTAAGTGTTGAGTAATTTTTATTGTATGTTTTAAGCGATTTAAATACTTATTGTTTTGATTTGTTTTCTTTTTTTGCTCAACTGAGATCTTAAACATTTCAATAGTTAAGAGAAGCAATTAGAAGCTTTTAAACTTTTGATTTAAAATGTTGCTTTAATTGTGTTGGTACAATTAAAACGCATAAATTATAATATTTAAGTCCCTAAAATATTAGTTTTGATACCTATTCTCTGATGCGCCTGTCTTTGTTAACTTTTTTGAAGACTGATTAAACTCGTTTTTTCCCCTCCAATTTTTAAACTTTTTTTTTTTTTTTAATTGAGCTTATTTGCTCGAATTATCTTTTAAAAAAGCTAAATCTATATGGTTTAGTATAGATGAATTAATAATTTTATTTTAATGTTACTTCTTTCTCTCAACAAAGTATTTGGTTAATTTTATAAGAATGATAATATATAAATATACACATTAAATATTTAAAAATGTATACATTGATTGTGTTTATGAATTAGAAACATAAAATATAAGTATTTAACAGTTCATTAACAAACTTTTAATTTCTATAAATGAGCATAATTTTTCACTTTTTTTTCAAATTTGGGGTAGCTAAGGATTAATCCTCAGAGTGAATTAAATAATTAATTCACCACCTATTATTTTTACCTAATTACCTGAAGATTAAAATTAAAAATTCAAATACTTCATAATGTAACAGCACTAACCACCACTTTATCTTAGATTTTTTAAAAGTTTTATTAAAATTTTGTATTTCCAAAAAGATTACAATAAACTAAAATACTGATAGAGGAACGTTGATGGGAAATTCATTTTAAATATTTTAGAAAGCCATATATTTTATCGTTGAGATATTTTAACTTAAAATAGCAAACTAATTGATTTCCAAAAATATCTTTAAGCTGAAACTTATAGGGACATGCATACAATTTTATTATAAGTTTCAATTATTTAATGCATGGAATAAAAAACAGTACACATAATCAGCAATAATAGTGTATATCCTCATATAAACTTCGATTCATGAATTGTCAAAAAAATACAGTTGATAGCATAAAATTGTATTAAAATAAAGTATGACGATCAAATGTTTTTCTATGAAAGTTATTCAGAAACTCTATGCAATAAATGCAAATTTAATAATTTAGTTAGAATAAATTCCATTTTTTTACAACATTACATGCACAAATTAACAACTAATTTTGTCTTAGTCAAACAAAACGCAAACACTTTTAGCAGTATAATAGATTAGTAAATTTATAAATGAGTTTTCTAAAGAACTTACTCAAATTTCAGTTTTTTAAAAATGAGTGAATAATAAATAGAGTATCATAAATCTATTGCTATTGTATATTTCATGCTGAACAAAAAATACTTTCAATTTTACTGATTGAAAGTGTAAATTTTAAGGCTTAATAGTTTGATTGAAAATTACTCTAAAAAAATCAAAACTATACTAAAACTAAATTAATAATAGTGTTATTTATTTTAAGTTATATATCTACTAAAAGCAAAAAACGTATTTAAAGCATTGAGGGAGAAAAAGTTACAAAACTAGCAAGCGTAAAATCTAGCGTAGTTCCTTGTATTTTTAAAATGTATTCAATTAGCAAAATTGTTCATGCAAATACGAATTATAGCTAGAAAAAAAATTTGCGTTTTTAAATTATTTGAAAAAATAAATAATTTTGGTTACATGGACAATGCTGGTTTTCTTTTCTGAAGAAAACAAAGTTATTAATTGACGTACACAGTGAAAATAAATATATAATTAACAGAAAGTTAGTAAAACAAGCTTTCGCTTCCTTAGAAAGCATTACAAAAATGTTTTCAAACAAATAATAAAAACCCGGTAAAAAGCTTTAATTAAAATATTTAGAGAATGATTTAGAAATTTTACGAAAATAGCACTTTTTTCTAAGTCTATAATTTAATTTCAAGCATAAATTCACCTAAAATGTTTTTTCGAAATTCAGCCAAATCTATTAAAGATAATAAAACAAAAAAGAAACTTTCGCTTTAAAATTGTATACCCTGCTCTAAATTGATAAATGATTTTATTTTTAAATGTGCATAAGACAAGTATGTACTTAGGGGCAATTCAAATATTACGTAAGCATATTTCTGCCAATTTTGAACTCCCTCTCTTCCTTTGTTAACAAAAATAAGTAAATCACAAACCCTCTTCCATGCTTACGTAAGAAAAACTTGGTTTTGGCTCTAAATTGACTGCAGTAATCTAAATTTCGAGTTGAAATCAAATAATTATGTAATTTTGCATGAAACGAAATGTACGTTTTTATACATTCTATAAAATTTAAGTAGAATTTTAAGTAAATCACCTGTTTTTAATTTCTTTTAAGAACCCTATCATCTTTGATAAGTCAATGCGTGTTAATGAAAGGTGTCCATCTCTCTTTGATTTTACTATTCCATCTCTCCTAAAGTTGAAGGTGAGATGGCCACCGAAGAATTTATAGCGTCACTCCACTATAATACTTCTCTTTTTTCCTTCTCAAGAATAAAGATTGAACTACATCTGTACTGTAAATTTCCAGCTATTAAGAGTATACATAATTCATTGGGAAATGAGTTTTCATTTAAGTAAAGTATTATCAATTGATTGTGGGATTAGGATGATACGATACTTTTAATATTTATCACTTAACTCATAATTGATCCCGAAATACTAAATAAAACAAACATTACAAATTTTATGTACTTCCTGTTGTCACAAAAAGCAATGCTTTGTCCAAATTGATGAACAAGTTTCAATTGATTTCAAGTTTCAATTTTGAGAACCAAATTGATTTCAATTTGTCTTTTATTCATTTATTTATTTATCCATCGATACTTGGTACCATGAGAATCTTTTCCAAAATAACGTTAATCGAAAATTAAATGACATCTAAATTATTTTATAAATATAATAGAGAGGTAATATTTCATTAAGCTTTAAACATGACTATTTTAAGTAACTCATAGTATTAAATATCTAATATGCTAAAAAAAAGAAAAGATTAAATCATTCGCTGTGGTCGTTTAGAGACTAAACGTACTGGGAATCCATTTTGAGGACCCGGGTTCGATATTCTGTGGTACTGGCGGCTTGAAACCCACACAGCCTCAGAGTGATCACGGTCACTAAATTATGAAGCCTTAATGTATGTATGACCCACAGGCCAACAACGAGCTATAGCGAAATGTATATTTAGGATGCTTAAAAAAATTAAAAACCAAAAAATGTTCATGTAAGAGGTCACACGTTAAAATTTAACCGAAGAAAAAAAATAAAAACGAAATCTGGCAAATAACTGCACAGGAACTATAAATAAGATTGGTTTGATTGTGGGAAACGAAGAGAAGTTTAAAAACAATTAATTGAAAAACCTCAAAGTATCAACCTCTGATGAAACCTGCTTTGATATTCATTACACGCACCTCCTACACTGTAATTTGTCAGATTCAACTAGCTCATATTTTCAATTGCTTTTTCGTCCCTTTTTACTTTCAATAAGAATTTTAATACATGTTAAGAGCGATCTTTATAGAACATCCTGTATTATTCATTCAAAACTAAAATTTTTTCAACCAAAGCACAATTGATTTGAAGAAATTAATACCTTTATTCTAACATTTATTTTTGATTGCTTGAAAAAGAAAAAGGTGACAATTGAAGAAGATAAAGTTCTGAGGTTTATTCTGTTACACGAAGTCCTGTGTCATAATTTTATATTAGTATCTTCTGTATAATCTTAAGTATTAAGTTATTTCAAATTATTACAATCTTATGTATTAAGTTATTCTAAATTTAAAGAAAAATAAGTCTTGTTTGAATACTAATATTTAGCTCTGCAAAAGAAAAAAAATCAAAATTATGAAATTATTAGAGTAAGAAATATTTTTAAATTGTATATTTTCTAAAATATCTGCTGAACGCTAACAGCTAAATCATACACGGAGTTGCTAACGAATTAAACAAACTAATACTTTTCGTTTTGACCAACGGAAAACAAATTTTTAAGTTGATATGATTTTTAAAAAATGAATTATTAATAAGAATTAATGCAAAAAAAATTTATTTCAGATTTTGATGCATTTCCATGATGCATCCCTAAAAAGGTTTATGCTCTCTAAAACCCCTTCTAGGAGTAAATGTGTTAATTTAAACTATATTTTTCTACTACTTAAATATTGAGACCATAGACCAATCTAGCTATCTGCTAAACTCTGGTATTGATTAATGATAATAAATCTTATTTCATAATTATTTTAATATTTTAAATTAATGACTTTTCATTCTTTGTCTTATATTTTAGATTTGATCTTTGCAGAGTTGTAATTTGGCTGCTATATTGTTGCTCTACATTCTGTGAGTGAAAAATGCTTTGACTACTGAATTTCTTACATTTTATAATTAAAGAATAAGACAGGCATAAGTTACGCCTCAGTGAATTATTTCGCGTTTGGAGGTGAGAGTTTAAACAGCAATTATCTTTTAACAGCAATTACGGACAAACAATTTAGTTTTACTATTAAAAATTAAAATTTTTTACACTTCTCTTCTTTTTAATTGAAACACTATTGTTCAATTGCCGAGTTCTAAAAAGTTTTTACGACTTGAAAGGTTAAGATTAAGTTTGAATACATAATTATACATTTTATACCAATTTTATTTTTTTTAATTTAAATATTTATTATATCAAATAAAAACTTTAGCGTCTTTTAATGCTTTGATTTCATCTGAGAAAATTAGCATAATTTGATGCTGAACGAGTAGAATACAACTCCCGCTTTAAAATCACAATTATGGTTCTCCAATTTTGAAAACGCAAGACTTGTTTAGAACACACAAAAATATAAACAATTTTAAATGTTTTTAAATTTAAAAAAGTTAAAAAAGATAGGAAAAAACTGCACACAGAAAAAATAGATAAAGGCATTAATAGGTTGATATTAAAAAAAGAAAAACTGCTTCGTTTTGAAACATATATCAATTTCTTCCCCTTTTGAAAATTTTTGTTAATAAGCTTGTTTAGAAAGCATGATAATATAAGACATTTTTAATCGCAAGTTTTTCAGTTATAAAGGAATTCAAACTTGAACTGAGTTCATAGAAAAGAACTGCACGTTATATTACAATAATTTAATATTTTAACAAAAAATTGTTACTTTTGAGAATGTGCTTTAGCTTCTTGAATCCAAACTTGACAAAATAGTTAAAAGATTTCTATTTTTTGTTAATGTTGTAAACATTAGCAAACATTAGTGTTGAATAGTTTAGAATGCAAAACACATTTACCATTAGTTTTTAGTTTACAAAGTGGATAAATGTAAGCTATAATAATAATAAGAAGAAGAACTGTTACGCTTAGACTACAATAATTTTTGATTTCAAAGAAAAATAGCTGCGTTTCCCAGTGTCTCAATTTCTTGAACCGAAAATCTTGATTGTCCATCAATCAAATAGGATATCATAAGTGTTGAGTTCTATTATATTTTTTTCTTGACTTTGTAATTATATTAAGCTTGTCAGAATGCATGGTATTATTAAATACTTTTAAAAACATGTGCTTTTTTTTCCTATTATAGTATGCTCAAATTTTTAAAATAAAATTTTAAAAAAATCTGATGCTATTTTCTAGTTTATTTCTATTATTTGATATCAATATTATTTAAAAATTGTGACTTGGGCATTGATTTATTTAAAAGGATGATATAAGTTCCCACATACATTTATAGTTTATAAATATGACTCATGCTATTACATTTATTTCAACAAAAGCTCTCCATTGCATATTTAAACTGCGTCGAATTAAAAAAAAAAAAAGGTTTGAATAGTGATTTATAATTACGATAAAGTATTTTTTAAAAAATAAAAAAATAATGTAATTGCATTTCACTTAATGTCATCAATAATGTATCTAATAACATAAACTTTTGAGACAAATAATAAAATCGTCATTAATAAGGATAATTTAATATCAATAGATATCTTTTGAGACACATAAGATCATATTAAATAATACGAATTACTTTTGAGTTTAGTTATGAGTAGTTTTGAGTTATTGTTAAATACTACTTATCTTGGAATCATGTAAATTTTATATATTATGGGCACTAATAAAACCACCCTAAGTAATACGACTATTGTATAGGAATAAAAAACTTCTGAGTCTATTAAAACATTCTTGAATAACCAATCATTTTATTTAAATAGATACCATGAGGAAAATAAAAAGGTGTTATATAATACTAATGATTTTATACGAATATTTAACATGGTTTTATTTGCCTCAACTGAACTTTTGAGGAAAATAAAATGAATTTAAATAATACAAATTATTTTATATGAATAGAAAACTTTTGAAAGAAAAACAGTCATATTAAATAATACGAATAATTTTATTTCAATGCATATCTTTTGAGTTACTTAAAATCATGTTAAATAATGCGAATTACTTTTGATTTTAGTTATGAGTAGGTTTGAGTTATTATTTAATATTTAGTTAAATAATGTAAATTTTATTTATCGACACAAATAAAACCGTCTAACGTAATACGATTGTTTTATATGAATAAACAATTTCTGAGTCTATTTAAGTAGTCTTTAATAGTTTTTTTTTGAATTTTTGAAACTAAAAAAGCCATCTGAAATAATACAATTGGTTTTATATGAATAGGCAAATTTTGAAAGAAATAAAAAGGTATTAAATAATAAAACTAATTTTATATGAATAGAAAACTTTTTTAAAAGAAATCCTTTTAAATAATACGAATAATTTTATAAGAATAACTTTTAATAAGAATGAAATCAACTAGCCAAACAAAGAGAAATGATGAAAACTTACCTGCTTAAGTGAAACAACCGAATTCGAATGAGGGGAGGGAAGTATCAGTAGAGTAGGCGGAGTTAAAAGTAAGCCAATAGGAAGTAACTCTCGCTGTCAGGATTTCTCGAATCAAAATGCTTTTTGGACACATTTTCAGGTCGCGACTTCGGGGGCTGTAATTGGACACTGTGAGAGAAGCTTACATTTGAGGAACTGTTTCCTAGGGATAGTTTATACAATATGGAATAACAGAGCATTTCTGTGGTTCTAGACTGTTGAAAGAGGGGAAAATATTTCTGTGATTTTCAATCCGCGACCTACGATCGATGGGTGTTTGCATATGTGCGATATCAGCGCAGAATAAATTGTGTCATTGAGATTGATTTGGGCTGTTTCGAACATTGGGGGAAAATTGCGAAGAGATAAATTGGAGAGATGTGGAGTTTAAGGATTTTGAAATAAATGAAGAGCATTCTGATTTCAAAAAATATTTAGTATTATAGATTTGTTTATTTTTCCTTTTTTTCTATTTTTTTCTTCTGTCTGTTGAAGGAAATGGATAGAAAAAAGTACTTGCAAATGCTTAGTCAGTCTNAAAGAAAGCACTCAGGGGTATTTAGTTTCAAACGAATGACGAAGTCAACTTGCACGTGCATAACTTTTCCAAGCAGTTATTAGTAGTTTTTTACGAGCAGGACATTGTGTGAGTGGTGTCAGAATGCAATATGTTTTTGTATGACTGGTGTTATTGTTCTATTGGTGTCCTAATTTCGAGTTTCAATAATTAAATTTAATGAAATAGCCTCTGTTATTTATTAACTGCACCTTATACAGTCAAACCTCGATATCTCGAACTTGAAGGGAGAGGAGAAAAAATCCGATATATCGAAAATTCGAATTATCGAAAATCGCATGTTATCAATGGTAGAATAAAGAAAAAATGCTCTTTACATACCTTATTTACTATTCCATATTTATTCTAAAAACACTTTTTACACTTTCGTTTAAAAAAAGATTCAATTGTTGTTTGCTTTAGAGATGTGTAAGAAAGTTCGTCTGTAACACTTTCTAAGTGGACTATAGCTTTAAATGTCTCCTCTGACATGTTCGTCTGCCTCTCAATAAATCTCCTTACAGTGTCCACTGCAGAAAGTGCTTGTTTGTTAGTAACATTGGGCGGCAAATCTTCGATTTCCTCATTCTCTTCTTCTGATAGTTCACAAGAAGCTTTCGTTTGAGCGATTCATTGTCATCCCACTGACCACACACTGTTACTGCATCATCTACGTTCACAAAGTCATGAAATTCCATGTCATCAAGCTTCATGAGTCCGGTCAATCCGTCCCAATCATTTTCGGTGTAGCTTTCAGCAGAATTAGCGATATTGATTGTTTGACTACTTTCGTGATCTTTAATGAATCCAGCCTTCTTGAAGCCATTCATTATCGCAGAGGAAGACGGATCATTCCATGCCATTCGCATAGCTTGTAGAACACTAACACCGGTGAAACCCCATCTTCCATTTCGGACAAAATTTTTTTAACTACTTGATGACGATACTTTACTTTAAAAATTTGGATGATGCAAAAGAAAAATGAAAGTTGCACAAAACATAATTTATGCTTTTCTTATTACGGGAAACACAATTGATATTAAAGGAAATTCATAAACATAATTTACATTAAGAAAGGCAAAACATAATTTATGCCTTTCTTATTAAGTGAAATCGTGATATTCGAAACGAATCAGTGATGTATTTTATACATTGCCGGTTTCTTATTTGGTATTCTATAGAATGCCTAGGAAATGTGAGAAATATAAATCGTTTCATGCATTGCTGTCTAGTTTTAGGCATTATATATGTTACCGTTAAAGTATGAAATCCGTTATTTTATGGAATACCTAGTTGAAATAACTGATCGTGTCCGTTAAAGTGTAAAACTCTGTTGTATTTCATGGTTTAACTAGTTATTTCATAGAATAACGATCTGCAGCCCGTTAAAGTGTAAAATCGCCAGGGTTAAATGATTTCATATCACAGGGATTTAAAAAATGTTCGTGTAAAACCCAGTGTGTCAACAAAAAATGTTTTTGTTTTAGAAATAATGTTCTTTGTAATTCCAAATGTCATTTTAGTAATCCTTGTTGTAACAAATGATTTTATGGTACGTTTCCAAAAATACCATTTATACGTTGCGTAAATTAGATAAATTGCTTCTTTTTCATTATTTTTGTCTATCATTAGTTTATTTATAGAATACCTAGTTATTTCATTTTAGCTAATTTTTTTTATTTTACACTTTAACTGTCTCTCATTAGTTAATTTATAGAATACCTAGTTATTTCATAGAATAACTAGTTAAAGTGTCAAATTAATAACATATTACACACTTTAACGGACACGAACAGTTATTTCATGGAATAACTAGGTATTCTATGAAATAACTGCATTATATACTTTAACGGTAGCATATACAATGAAATGGAAGGGAGAATAGGGTTCAGAAAAATTATAAAAAATCATAAAACAACTTTTACAAAATCATTTACTTCTACTGAAAAATCTATAAAATGTAATAAATAAGTTTGAAAAAAAAAAAACACATTCAACACAAATAAATAATAAGCGCAATGCACCTTCACTCAGATAATGCTTTAATATGAGAATGGAGTTGGCATTCCTACTTTAATATTATGACCTAATATACCATTCATTTTTTTTCAACATTGTTTAATTCATTTGTTCCCCGATTTCAGGAAGTAGATGAATAAATAAAATGTAGAAGTAAGCACTTGCTCGGAAGTTTCCCCTACATTCATTTATTACTGAACTGTGAGAACGGAGTTTGCATTTTCTTTTTTCCACCATTTTCCACTTTTTCTCACCGTTCATATTCTTCATTTCAAATTTATCCTATTTATCCACAATGAAATACGTACGTATAATTTTTACAAAAAAATCATAAAATCAAAAGGTAAAGTTCTTTGCTTTATTACTTTGTCTCTGTTGGAATCATGATAGGAACCTACTTCCAAATAAATTTATTGTTGTTAACATAATCCAAAAAAAGAAAAGAATGATTTTTTTCTTTATGTTTCCTCCATTTGAAGAGTGTTTACTTTTGATTTCCGTATTATTTATTTCTTCCGTCTTCAAAGAAAAAAAAAACAGAGAGAGAGACTGCATTTTACTTTTTTTATAGCTACAATTGGTTAAAGCGTGTTATCTTCTCCCACAAGGATCAGCTACAACGAAAATAAAATAAATTTGTTCTTTATACAGACACATTTCATCTTCCGCATCAATTGAAAAGGGAAAGAAGCGGATGCAGGAGGAGCAGGTGGATGCCATTGACTGTCCAAAAGTGCAACTGTGGCGAGACTCTTTCCTTAGACTATTTTTACTCCTTTAAATCATCTCCTGAAATGTGTCTGTAGTTGATGGATACCGAATCTTTTTCTTGGCACTAGTAACAATAAAAAATCACTTCTCTTTGCTGAATTGGCGTATTTAGAAGCATTGGTGAAGCGCCATACCACTTTCGAAGGGGGGGGGAAATGGTTTTGTGGTTTTAATTTGTAGTGAGGTTTGTAAGATTGTTTCATATGAAGTATGATATAAGATATTAAGTGGTACAGCGGTTCAATTTTCAGTGGTATTTGCTTGAAATAATATCATACAGTGTATCGAAATAAAAAAATAAATTAATTAAAAAAAAAGAAGATATTTTTGCTACAATATCTTAGATAATAATATACGAAGTCTGAAATTTAAAATTAACTTATTTATTATCTCTGCAATATTGTATTTGAAGCAAAAAATAAATGTATAATATATATATATATATATATATATATTATACATTTATTTTTTGCTTCAAATACAATATTGCAGAGATAATAAATAAGTTAATTTTAAATTTCAGACTTCGTANTTAAACCATAAAATATTCTACCTTAAAAGTTTTAAAACATTTTATTTAAAAAAAATGATTTTTTTTAATCTTAAAATAATTTTACTCGTTACTCGTTAATTTTTTAAATGTAAATTTATCACCTATATATTTTTTTCAAAAAAAGAAGAAGAAGAAGAAAAAACTCCTGCGAAACTATTTTACAATAAACTGTACAATTTGAAATCATAATGTAAAGATTAATTATAACAATATTTCGGAATGAAATTATACTTAAGAATTTGTCTTAGGGTATCGATATTGAGATAATATTTCTCATTTTCCCAAAGAAATGCAGATAAAATACACCATTGTTTATCTGCAGCATATTTAATTACTTTAATTTGGGTATTGAATTCTTTATCTTCTGACAACCCAATTTATGAAAAATAATTATTTTTCCTTCACTAGAGAATCTTTACCTAATATGGGCATTATAGAATTTATTTATCTTTCATTAAATTGTATTTTAAAATAGAATTTGATTTTCGTACTGCATTAATAAATTAACACATTTTTATTAATTAGTGCTGTTTAGACTAAACAAAACGATAAATAACTGCTTATTGGCATATATTCTATAGATAATATTTAAAATAACATGATAAAATCATTCGTTTTAATTTTTCTAAATCAAAATGAAACAAAAATGAGTTTATTGTTAGCATTAACATGACTGAAATTGACTGTTAAAATGCAGATTCAATGCATTATTTTTATCTCATTACTTATGCTAGTCTTAAAACCTACTTTGCATACTCTAGTTTGTTTTGTGAAACTAAAATTTTGAAATAAAAATAAATATATATATATAATATTTTGTTTCAACCACTTGATTCTATGTCATCAGTAGATTTTACGGGAATCATTTCTTAAATAATAGTAACTTAAATAACAACTTATTTTTATGTCATGACACATATAATATATCTGTCCGAACTCCATTTGAAAATAAGCTAACAAAATAAAATAAAAAATTTGGCTTTTAAAATGTTTGTCAAATAAAAAAAATAATAATAAAATATATGTAATAGATTCAATGATATATGTTTCGCCATATGTGATAGAGGCAATGATGTTTTGCTATATGTGATAGAGGCAGTTGTCTTATAAATTGAATATTTCAGTTTCTTTCGAGAAACCAAAATTTACAATTAAAATAAAAATTAATCTTTTGTTTTGATCACTTCATTCTAAGCCAA